AGAGGCTGAAGGACTGAAACCTGAACAAGTGTTTCAATTGTGACAAAACAGGCTCTTTTGGAAGAAAATGCCAAAGAGGACCTTCCATTACACAAGAGGAAAAGGCAATGCCAGGACACAAGCCTATGAAAGACAGGCTGACGCTAATGTTCTGTGCTAATGCTAGTGGGGATTTCAAAGTGAAGCCATTACTAGTGTACCATTCTGAAAATCCCAGAGTGTTCAGGAAAAACAATGTTATGAAGAGTAAATTGTGTGTGTTTTGGAAATCTAATAGTAAGGCATGGGTCACGAGGGAAATTTTCGTCGAGTGGATTCAATGAAGTGTTTGGCCCTAGTGTGAAGGAGTATCTCCTGGAAAAGAAATTGGATCTCAAGTGCCTGCTAGTAATGGACAATGCACCTGCTCATCCTCCAAACTTGGATGACCTAATTTTCGAGGAGTTTGGGTTCATCACAGTAAAGTTCTTGCCCCCGAATACCACTCCTCTCCTCCAACCCATGGACCAGCAGGTTATTGCAAACTTTAAAATACTCTACACAAAAGCAATGTTTCACAGGTGCTTGACTGTGACCACAGACACTCACTTGACCCTAAGGGAATTTTGGAGAGAACACTTCAGCATCCTCCACTGCATAACCCTTATGGGTATGGCTTGGGAGGGAGTGACTACCAGGACTTTGAACTCTGCCTGGAGAAAATTGTAGCCAGATTGTCGACTAGAGGGATTTTGAAGGATTTGGGACTGACCCTAATGAGCCTATGTCTGTTGTAAAATCAATTGTGGCACTGGGGAGCTCCATTGGGTTGGATGTAAGTTTGGAGGATGTGGAAGAATTGGTGGAAGACCACAATGAAGAGTTCACCACTGAGGAGCTGCAAGAGCTCCAGCAGAAGAGCAACACATCGCAGCTCAGAATCTTGCTGCAGAGGAGGAAGGAGAGATGGAAGAGGTGCCTTCTTCAGAAATTTAAAGAGATTTTTACTATGTGGGGTAAGATGGAAAGCTTTATGGAGAAACATCACCCTAACAAGGTTGTTGCAAGCCAGGTTGGCAACATGTAAAGTGACAAAGTCTTGGGCCATTTTAGGGAAGTGTTAAAGAGACGCCAGAAACAGAGCTCTCTCCAGTTATTTTGTGAGACAGGACTCCAGTGACTCTCAAGGTGGTCTCTAGTGGCATTAAGAAACAGAGAAGAGAAGTAACCCCAGAAAAGCAAATGGTACTGAGGTGTTGATGGAAGGGGATTCCCCTTCCAAACTATAAACAATCCACTCTCTCTCCTCCTCCAGTCTCCATACACTAAGAAGAATCTCCATAAAGGTAAGTGTTATGCTGTTAATGTTTCATTCATCATTTCCCATTGTATTGTTTATGTACTACATGTATATTTCATGTTAAAATTTTTTTTGCTTTAATACTTCTGGGTGTCAGGAACGGATTAATTGTATTTACATTATTTCTTATGGGAAAAATTGATTCGTAAATCGTAAATTTCGTTTATAGTAACGGCTCCAGGAACGGATTAATTACGAACAACGAGGGACCACTGTACAATAAAGGCAGCTTATATCAAAACTTGAAAAACCTTTTGCTCTCTCTCTCTCTCTCTTTCAATGCTCCCTTGATATCTGCTATCCTTGATATTATGTACAATTTTAAATATTTTTTATCTTACAACTAACTACATATACAGGTGAGTGGATTACAGCACCATCTCAACTACATTGCAATCTCAGCTGTTCAAGTTCTTCCAGCTGTTTTTTTAACTTTTCCTTCTCTTTCAGTAGCTGCTGTTCTGTTTGTTGGAGATGCTTGCAGTGTAAGGCTGCCTTTTTAAGGATTTGGATCTTAGGGATCTTATCAAGGATCTTGGTTTCAGGTACAAGCAGGCGGAGGTACTCGAAAGAATAACGCAAGTCCACTCTTCTCTCTTTCTCCAATGAGCTATATGTGGATCTTCGACCTTTGAAGTGCTCTAAACGCCTCCTTCGTCTATGCTCCTTTGACCTTATTGCCTTCTGAAAGAAAGGTTTTTTTAGCAGAATTATCTATGCCAAAAAACAAATGGTAAAGCTTAAGAACTTGTAAAGTTATGAATGTGTTGATTTGAGCTTAAATATAACATGAACATATTTTTAATAATTTTACAGTACGTATATGGTATACAGTACTAACAAGTTGATGTATTATACATGAGCAACACATGGGTAGTATCTCTAATGCAGACATATTGTCTAGGCACAAGACTTGTTCAATAAAATACAGGGGCAACCTTCATACTAGAGATGTTAGAAGTGGATAAGTAATTTTTAAGGTGTTCAGTCCCCTAGCCTAGAGCAGAGCCATATGGACAGAAACTTAAAATGGAGATAAAAGTGAGGTGCAGTAATTTGAGACCATCACAGATGGGCAGGAACTACTAGTGGATATAGATCAAGCCAATAAATTATTTAGCAATATAGTTGTAGAAGTTAATTCCTGTACCAAGATTCTATAGTGTTGCTGCATCAGACAAAGTATTATATTAACCCTTTCAATGGCCGTCACACAGAACTACGTCACTGAGGTCAGGGTCTCTCACATAATTCTATGCCGTGATCTCACTCGGATAAGATGCGAGTAGCAAATTTTGGCCTACACATGAGAGAATGAGTTAAAAAAATCCTTCCCTATGTGATACATAAAGGGAAAAACAAAACAATGTATGGTTTAAAATAGCAAATTTGAGGTGTTTTTATGGTTTTATAAGATTTTTCTTGGTATCATTTGAATGAATGGAAGACATACTAATGCTAGCAATCAATTTATTGCCTTCCAATATGGTGAAAATTAATATGATGTTTAAGTCATTCTTTTGTTTTTCTTCAATCTAAGATTTTTTTGTTAATACCATTAACACAACTTTAGAAAAAAAAAAACTTACTGAAGACTTGCTAGTGCCTGTTGCAGTAAATACAAATGGAGAGCTGCTCTCTCCTAAAGTTAGTGTTTTTGTCATAAGCTCTTCTAGACGTGTCTCAGCACTATATAAAGATGAGAGTCTTTCACCTGTAAAGCAATGTTTTTAATTATGCTTTTGTTATACAAGGCAAATGGAATGTTTTCCCTGCAATGAATACATATGCAATACTATTCCATTATTACATGAAAGGAGGCAGTGAGGAAGGGCCTCAAAGATGACAATATTTGGAGTGAAAAAAAAAAAAAATGTAAATGTAAATGTGAACAAAGAGCAGATGGTTGAGAGGGAATGACCAACACTTAACATAAGGACTTTTGCACATCTAGTCAATGAAATGGATGAAATTTTGAACATGAGTCAGCATGAGAACAAAAGTTTCTTGTAATGTTACATTATGTGGAAGATATTTTAAAAAGCCTGGTAACACTGTCAGGATAACCATGCAGATAAGAAGAAAAAAACTGATTTATGAGACATATGACAACTTATCAAGGATGTAGAGGTTAGAAGAGATGAACAAGGATTGGATAAGTACAGAATGGATACTGTTTTCCCCACTCTAGTGGTTGTTTAGTGAAGAAATTCAAATGTCTACAGCCACAGCAGAAGGTGAAAGCTTCAACCAATCTTTGACTGATGTACCAGTCACAGAAGTTTCTCTAGCTGTGTATATTTTATCTTTACTTACTTTCAATGGCCCTTAGTCAGATACTATTTAGGTGAATGTTTAATTTACACTACAATGGTCATGAACAATAAATTTCTAATGAGTAGACACAATTAATGGAGAATTTTCACTATATTATATTGACCAGTGACCATGAAAGCACATTAGTTCAAGAAATTTCACATACTGTACATACTAAAAATCAAACGTTTTTGAAGATTATTTCCTTGAATTTTTAACATCTTATGATTTTTAAGCACCAGCATCTAGACTGAAATCCTGTCTGCACTAATACAGCCAATATCTGAATTTCTTAATCTTCGACCCTTTGAGTTAAAAATCCAAACAAAACCTTATCTTGAAACAGACTTAGCGATTCCTGTTTTGGAGAAGACATGATCAGATAGCCTGATCTTATTAGCTAATCATTTGAATGTTGCATACTTTGTAAAGATTTATTCATATTATTAACCTGGAGAATGTTAGCAGCAGTAGGAATGAAATGGTAGGAAAAAAAAAAAGTGGAATTGGAAACAGAGCTTTAACACAGCCTGAGAGTATGTGATTACCTATTTGTAGTTACAAGAGCAGAGCTATGATCAGTGCGACTAGTCTTCGGTGCTTAATTTGTCATACAATTTGTTAAAGGTATCCCATATGTAATTATTATTACATTTATGGGGGAGCACTAAACCTGTAGGGGTCATACAGCACCTAGGGAAATGAGAGGCAATCAAGTCTGATCCAAAGGAGTAGACAGGTCCAATTTGTTGGATCAAAAGCCCCTCACCTACATCAAGGAACCTCCCTTAAGGGAAGGGTCATGGGTAGAAAAATTACCGAGACTGGTTACAAGTACACATGGTTGCAGTAGAGTCATAAGGGGGTGCAGGGGCTGCTGCCCTGGGTGACACCATAGAGCCTCTAAAGAAGGTGACACTAATGCCCAAAACAATGCTGCAGCAACATCAAGAGAAGAATCCTTCATTTCTATATAGCCTTTCATATGATTACAGAGTACAAATAGGCCTATACAGTGGAACCCCGAGTTTCGAACACATCGACTATCGAATGCTTCAAGTTACGACCGCTTTTTTCGCACCAATTTTGTCCCAAGTATCAAATGTGCCCTGTATTTCGAACTGCACACCAGACCTGTCCGCCTGCCCACGTCCCCCCGCACACGCATCATGAGCCAGTCTGGCTTTGCTTATGCTTGAGTGAACGCTAACCTGAAGGCTCATTCAAACATTTCACTATTAATTCATTATGTTTGGTGCTTGTGCGACTGTGAAATAAGCTACCATGGGCCCAAAGAAGGATAAAGACTTGTTACCTAAAGTCTTTATGGAAGGGGATTCCCCTTCCAAACAATAAGTGCTCCCTCATGCTCTCTCCCCATCTTCCAGATGCCATCAACAATCTTCAATAAAGGTAAGTAAAAAGTTATTTTATATGTTTATTTAAATGTGTTTATGGGAAAATAATAGTAAGGAAAACATCAACAGGACAACAATATACCATCTCAAACGAACATGATTTCTCTACCTTCCTTAGAAAAGCTGACATTTCTGTAACAGATTAGATAAGTGCCCTTAATACATATATACGTGTGGTGCATATAGTGTACGTTACTATTATATTGTGCATTATTATTTTATTATTTTTCATCACTAGCTAATGCCAACTACCTCCAATACTCTATACTTCTTTCTTACTGCTATTAATTGCTCATAATTTTAAATTACAAGTCAAATCTTACTCCAAATTAATAATATTCATTATTCTTACCTGTCCATTTAATTTTGTTTATCACTACTTATTTTTTAGTCACTTTTCATTGTGTATGCAATTAGTGTATATTCCAATTACTTTTTTGCAAGTACCAAAACTATCTTTTGCTAGCTAGTACCAACTACCTCATTTTTTTTTACTTTTTATTGTGCAATAAACTGCTCAATTTATTTAATATTACAAATCAGATCTTACTCCTAAACCAATATTATTTCATAGTGACCATCTGTCCATTTAACTTTGTTTACCATTACTTAATTTTAGTCCCTTATATATTTTCTCCTTTATTTTAGCTTTATATAACTACCCTAGTTTATATATTCACAATTGTTAAAATAATCAAGGTGCTATTCTCAGGTGCTAAAGTAGAATAAGTTCACAATTTTGCCATTATATTCCAAAGCTCATTTATTTGATTACCACTTTATTGTTCACCACAACTTATATTAGTCCCTTTTATATTATAATTTTATACTATAATTCTAACTTTAAAGAATTACCTTTATAGTACTACCTACTATCATATTCCCAAGCTCCATTATTTGATCATCACTTTATTTGTATTAGTCCCTTTTATATTGTCTCCTTTATTTTAGCTTTAAAAAAAAAAAAAAAAAAAAAAAAAAACTACCTTAGCTCATTATTTTACATTTGTTAAATAATTCAGGTGCTATTTTTTAGCTTAAGACTATTTACTTTGTTTTATACTTAATTCTAACTATAGATTCACTACAAATCTTATGATTACAAGCATTGATCCTGATACCAACCTCTTATTTAATGACTTAAATGAATCAAACAGTTACTGTAATTACTACACAGCAGAACAATCAAAGGCACTTCTCACAGCCAACAACAACATAACTATCTTTAACTACAATATCAGATCTTTAAGCAAGCATTACGATGACCTCATAGCATTACTAAATTCCTTACATGCCAATAACTGAAACCTGGCTAAAGCTTGATAGTAAAGATGTCTATGCCATTCCTGGTTACACAGCCATACACAACTGTAGGCCAGACCAACAAGGGGGTGGCACAGCCATATACTACTCAGACCAACTAGAATGTATCACTAATACTTGCACAAGGGATGAACATGGGGAATATATACCTGGAGTTTACCTGGAGAGAGTTCCGGGGGTCAACGCCCCCGCAGCCCAGTCTGTGACCAGGCCTCCTTAGGTCAGTGTCCCAGGATGCGACCCACACCAGTCGACTAACACCCAGGTACCCATTTTACTGATGGGGAACATAGACAACAGGTGGAAAGAAACACGTCCAATGTTTCTACTCTGGCTGGGAATCGAACCCAGGCCCTCGCCGTGTGAAGCGAGAGCGTTAACCACCAGGCCACCAGAGCCCCCCAAATTCAAATCCAAATACCTACAAAAACCTCTCACATTGATAAACATCTACAGAGTTCCACAGTCAAACATTAGCCAATTTAGTCAAAACCTAGGAAGTATGATAACTGATGCACGCATGAACAAAGATCACTTACTACTCTCAGGTGACTTCAATATAAATCTCCTGCAAGACCAGGACCCACACGTTACTGAATTCACAAACACAATGAGTAACTGTATGTTGCTACCAACAGTAACAAAACCTACAAGAGTTACAGAGACTAGTGTTTCCCTACTTGACCACATCTGGACCAACACCATATCCCCTTTAAAATCAGGCATAATTACAGATAATACCACAGACCACTACCCTACTTTCCTCATAACAACTCTTGGTAAACTACCCCAAGACACTACTAAAGTCACCTTCAGACTTCACAATGAGGCAGCCATTAATAACTTCACAACAGCAGTAGCAAACATTGACTGGCACACTGAGCTAGAAATCTATACAGATATTGACAAATGTATTAATAATTTTCTATAAAAGACCTAATACCTCTATAACAAGCACTGCCCTAAAAAACTAAACAGATGACAGCTAAGAGACTGAACAGTCCCTGGCTAACACCCAGCATTCTCAAATCCATAAATACAAAACACCAATATGAAAAACAGTACAGAATGGGTCACATAACCAGAGACCAAACAAAACGTTACTCGTCAATCCTAACCAGCCTGATAAGAAGGGCAAAAAAATTGTATTATGAGAACAGATTATCCAACTTACGAGGTGATATAAAAAAGACCTGGAAAACCCTATCAGAAATTCTGGGAACAAAAAAGATATCACAAAATAGCAAAATAAAATTAGCAAAATCAGATGAACCCCAACTCCCACCAACAGAAACAGCAAACAGAGTCAATGATTTCTTCTCCACTATAGGACAAAACCTTGACAATAAAATCCCAAGCTCAGATACCCCACCAAATGACTACCTCACCGGCAACTACCCGAACACACTGTTCCTAGCTCCGACTAACCCATACGAAGTCTTCCTTATTATCAACGCACTAAAAAACAAGGCAGGAGATTTAAATACCTTACCACCCTTTATATACAAAAAAGTGTCACAAGTGCTATCACCAATCATTGCAACACTCTTTAACAAATCCATTGAATCCTCCACCTTCCCTACAGTTCTCAAAATAGCAAGGGTCACCCCGATCCACAAAGGAGGAGACCAAACAGAGTTGAATAACTATAGGCCAATATCCAACTTACACCCTCTCTCAAAAATCTTCGAAAAATTAATTCATAAACGAATCTACTCCTACCTTATCTCCCAAAACATACTCAACCCCTGGCAATTTGGATTCAGGCCTAATAAAAATACTAATGATGCTATTATACACATGCTAGAACATATATACACTGCAATAGAGAAAAAAGAAGTCCCACTGGGGATCTTCATTGACTTACGTAAAGCTTTTGATACAGTTGACCATGACTTGCTCCACGTAAAATTGGCACACTATGGTATAAGAGGGCACTCCCTCAACTACCTCAAGTCATACCTCAGCAACAGAAGCCAATATGTGTACGCAAATGGGGCAAACTCTTCTGCACAACCAATTACAGTTGGTGTCCCACAGGGAAGTGTCCTTGGCCCTCTTCTCTTTCTCCTATACATAAATGACCTACCAAATGCTTCGCAATTACTCAAACCCACACTATTTGCAGATGACACTACATACGTCTTCTCCCACCCAAGCCCAGTCACGCTAGCCAATACTGTAAATACCGAATTACAGAAAATATCTACCTGGATGAGGACTAACAAACTTACACTAAACATTGACAAAACCTACTTCATTCAGTTTGGTAACAGAGCTACAGATGTCCCTCTTAACATAATGATAAACGGATCACCTATCACAAAGCTAACAGAGGGAAAATTCTTAGGAATCCACCTTGATAATAGACTCAAATTTCATACACATATACAACAAATTTCTAAGAAAATTTCCAAGACTGTAGGCATACTATCGAAGATATGGTACTATGCTCCACAGTCAGCCCTCCTGGCCCTATATCACTATATTTACCCCTATCTCACCTATGGAATTTGTGCATGGGGCTCAACAACAATTAACCATCTCAGACCACTAATTACCCAACAAAAGGCTGCAGTTAGAATGATAACAAATTCTCACTACAGGCAGCACACTCCACCAATATTCAATACACTAAACCTACTCACCATACAAAACATCCATACTTATTACTGCACCTATTACATACATAGAACACTTAACTCTGATATTAACCCTCCCCTCAAACATCTCCTTGCCAACCTCAACAGAACACATGACCATAACACAAGGCACAGATCACTCTTTGATGTTCCTCGTGTCCATCTCACACTATGCAAAAACTCAATGCACATAAAAGGCCCTAAAATCTGGAATTCATTACCTGTAAATATAAAAGAAACACTACCTGTTTATAAATTCAAGTCTCTTCTCAAAGATCACTTACTCACCCAAAACCAAATAAATACTGAATAACTGAACCTTATAAATTGTATATCTTAAATGTTTCTCACAATTATATCACATAAATGTTAAACCTAAAACCCAATCTAACTTTATTATTTTTTAAATACACTACCTAACAGAATACTCCATACGACTGAATGTACAACAATGCATGCAACCATATGACCTGTCTTTGTAATACTCACTTGTGCTTTATAGTAATCTGTTTACATTAATGTTTTATCACTGATTTCATCATTGCTTAGTTAATCTTAAGTTAATTTTAAGGCAGCCCATAATGCTATGCATAGTATAAGTGGCTTTGGCATGCTGTTCTTATCTGTATTTTTTTGTACCTCTGTATGTGTGCTCAAATTGTTAATAAATAAATAAAAAAAAAACTAATTGTACTATGTATGTTTGTTGTGACTCACGAAATCGTAATGACACGATTGCAAACAAACCATACCCCGGCCGGGATTGAACCCGCGGTCAGAGAGTCTCAAAACTCCAGCCCGTCGCGTTAGCCACTAGACCAGCTAGCCACAATAAGATTCGTCCAACTAGGTATATTTCTACACCATAGGAAGGTTAGCACAGGCACCACTGTGACCACAAATGCAAGTTTTTTACAGATGAATCTCCAGGTAGCGTGGCCGTGACGAACTCTAGCTCAAGTCCCTTCACTGCCGTCATCATGACGGCAGTGAAGGGACTTGAGCTAGAGTTCGTCACGGCCACGCTAGCTGGAGATTCATCTGTAAAAAACTTGCATTTGTGGTCACAGTGGTGCCTGTGCTAACCTTCCTATGGTGTAGAAATATACCTAGTTGGACGAATCTTATTGTGGCTAGCTGGTCTAGTGGCTAACGCGACGGGCTGGAGTTTTGAGACTCTGACCGCGGGTTCAATCCCGGCCGGGGTATGGCATGTTTGTTGTATGTAAAACTATAATTAATCTCTATAAAATGTATTTTTTTTGTGAATATTTTTTGGTTTCTGGAACAGAATAACTGTTAGGAAATATTGGGTCGAGTTTCAAACGTTTCGACTTTAGAACTAGCTCCTTGAACGGATTAAGTTCAAACCTCGGGGTACCACTGTATAAGGAAAATCATTGCTTCTGATGATGTGATAGATGATTTTGCAGGATTGAAGGCAAGGAAATGTAAGATCAGATTCACTGAGATGTTACCTGTACTCAAGGTCAAATCGGAACTAGTGTTTCTCTGATATTGCAATGTTTTTCTTTATTTTTCAAGTTTTTTTTTTTTTTTGCATTGTTGAAGATGAATAAATATAGGATCTGTTACCTGTATTCAAAGTGGTATTTGAGTTCATGTTTCCTCAATATTACTACGTGTACGATTATTTATTTCATCCTTAATAAAGTCGAGAAGTATTCTCCTGTTCAGTTTATGGCCCTTAAATGTTCTCATTGCTAAGCATTAGTCACTGGACATGCAGTAGTGACATAGCTGGAGTTCACTCCCCCCCCACCCTTGGATTTCATGGGGGGTGATACCAAAGATGCCGCCCCAGGTGACACCAACCCTAGCAATGCCACTGCATGGTTGAACACATACTACTGCATCCTTGCATGCTTCACATTTCAGTATTCAACCATTCAATTTATAAAAAACTATTATCGCCTAGCAGTGTTTTTTTTTCCTCAGTTTACAACCGAGGCACAATCAGACAAACTGACAATGTCAGAATTTAAATCCGAGTAAAAAATAAATTATTTAAATACCATTTACCTGTATTTTAGTATCAAAACCACTGATCCAGCCAATAAGTCATACTCACAAGCTTCCTTAGTGGGTCCCCAAGGTGGCGGATCATGCTGTAAATGCTTCTGCACCTTCATGAATTTATGGTCTGATTTAACAGATGATCTCAGTCGCTTCATTCCCATAGTGCCAAACATCAACTAAGTTAATGTTTTGTGGATTCTGAAATTTACGAGAAATCAATAATGCATAATACTTCAATTCACAACTTGACAATTTAGAGAAGCTTTTAATGTTTTGAACAGTCCTGAACCAATGCCAAAACAATTCAGGGGAAGTGTTTTATTTCCATTGAGGTAAACCTGGAGAGGGTTTCAGGGGTCAACGCCCCCACGGCTCGGTCTGAGACCAGGCCTCGTGGTGGGTCCATTCATCTCAAAATTACCGATTTTACTTTTAAATAAGTCTGCCTTCCTTTTTTATAATAAAAACATAAAACTTTAATGCACCTTCAGCACACTCACAAGACGTTCTTTCTCTTCCCAATGGACCCCAATGGAAATAAGCCACTTGGACTTTTTTTTGGATTATCCTAAATAATTTACACTATGTATGATATTTGTACTTATGTGTACCTGTACCCAAATAAACTTATTTCCTCAGGATAAATGCCTACAAGAACCCTAATGGATCATAATCATAACTAAGTGGTAAACCCATAAGTGTCATACAGGAACTCCAATATAAACAAGTTTATTCAGGCACAGGTACACATCAATCTAGTTACATAAATTACCAATCATAGTAACATGTGTGTAGATTACCTAGGGTAATAAAAAAAAAGCAAAGTGACTTATTTCCATTTGGGTCCTAGAAAATCCTAGGTAATTTACACACATTACTATGTATGATAATTTGTATGACTGTATTTGTGTGTACCAGTACCTAAATAAAATTACTTACATACTTATGATCTTAGAGAAGATTATTAAAATTATGGGGGAGCACTAAACCCATAGGATTATACATACAGCGCATGTGGGGGCAGGAATGGAAGATATTCAGGCTCAATTCAGGGAACCGGAGCACAGATCCAATTCCTTAGATCAAGAGTCCCTCACCAACGTCAGGGAACCTCCCATGAGGGGATCTTAGAGCGAGTGTATGTTTTGTTGGGTTTATCATGGACACTGACAGCATACACAGTATGAAGGCCGGCATCCTGATGTATGGGGAAGATATGTTGCCCAAAGTTCTGGGCCATGAAAGGAAAAAAGGAACAAGAGTTCATTTGTAAACAGTGTGATGTAGATCACCTGTGCTTGTGAGGTCAAAAAAGTGAGACCTAACTAACCAGTAAATTGTCACACCCCTTGCGTTGGCAAATAGGTGTCAGACACGCCTTGCAGCTTAAGTCTCAGGTCTTTTGTTCTTGACTAGCATCAGGCCTCAACACATGTGGTGTATGCCTCATGGGGAGGGTTGCTTTAACCCTTAAACTGTCCAAACGTAGATTTACGTTTGCACCACTAGCGCTTCAAATGTAGATCTACGTTTTTTTTTACATTTGATAACATCTAAAAAGAAATGTAGAGCTACGTTTGGACAGTTAAAGGGTTAAAGACCATATAAGCTCAAGGAAACAGCTAGAGAGGGAGATTCAGACAGAGCTGCTGCCTGGGTGCAGAGCCTCTGGGGAGAAAGCTGCTGGAGAGTCTCTGGGGTGGACTGCTGGAGACACTGGGCAGAGTACTGGCATGGAGCAGTGCCTGTGCTGTGTTGGTCTTGGGACCTGTGGCTAGTGTGAGCTCCTGTGGTGAACTGTCCTCTGAACTACTATTACCTGGAGTTTACCTGGAGAGAGTTCCGGGGGTCAACGCCCCCGCGGCCCGGTCTGTGACCAGGCCTCCTTAGGTCAGTGTCCCAGGATGCGACCCACACCAGTCGACTAACACCCAGCTACCCATTTTACTGATGGGGAACATAGACAACAGGTGGAAAGAAACACGTCCAATGTTTCTACTCTGGCTGGGAATCGAACCCAGGCCCTCACCGTGTGAAGCGAGAGCGTTAACCACCAGGCCACCAGAGCCACTATACTGTAAGTTATATTCTGTTTTGTCAGTTATATTGTATTCCTCGTCTCACTGCTTATGTATACCACCTCCCATTTATCTAAACCCACTAGTGTTCTCCTGTTCCCCAATATATTACTGTACATGGACCTTTAACTAGAATAGTAATATTCACTGTCCCCGCTGTTCTTTATTTCACTAATTTATTTATATGATCGTGAGAGGGTTGTGGTGGTCACCACTGACCTGTCACATTACCTACCTGCCTCCTTCCTCCCTTTACTCCATTTTCTCCCTTATTCACCAATTATCCTTTTCATTCCTTACCTCCTATATGACAGAAATAACAAGTAGAAGTGCCCCAGCAGAGATGAACACACCCTCACACAATGAAAATAAGTCACTTACTTTTCTTGGCTATCCTAGGTAAGCTACACATATGCTATATATGATAATTTGAATGACAGTATTAATGTGTACCTGTACCTAAATAAACTTAAGTTCAATATGGGCTGCCAGCTGCTCTCCTGGCAAGATTATTATTATTATTATAATCAAGGGGGAAGCGCTAAACCCGGAGGATTATACAGCGCCTGGGGGGGGGGGTTGTGGAAGGCATTCAGGCTTAATTCGGGGAACTGGAGCACAGATCCAATTCCCTAAATCAAGAGCCCCTCACCAACATCAAGGAACCTTCCTTGAGGGGTCTCCTGGCAAGAACTACTGACACAGTCACCATCAGATTAGCAGTCTCAGTCTCACAAGTGGCTTTTAGGACACGTTTCCATATGCAACTAATCTTGCAAGAAATTCCTAACTACATGAACGAATAAAGGACTAACTTACACAAATAACCCGCACATAAAAGAGAGAAGCTTACGACGACGTTTCGGTCCGACTCGGACCATTTCATCATTGCTTAGTTAATCTTAAGTTAATTTTAAGCCAGCCCGTAATGGTATGCATATAAGTGGCTTTGGCATGCTGCTTTTACCTGTATTTTTTGTACCTCTGTTTGTATGCTAAAATTTCTAAATAAATAAATAAATAAATAAATAAATTGACAAAGTCACATAGTGTGACTTTGTCAATGGTCCAAGTCGGACCGAAACGTCGTCGTAAGCTTCTCTCTTTTATGTGCGGGTTATTTGTGTAAACTTACTTACTGAGATATGGAAGGTATTGTCTTACTGAGAGGGAGTCTGGAAGCAGACGAATATTCACAGTACTTTAGGCAGCCTCCATGAGTCTTTGTTCCACAAGCAGAGTTGCAGACACGTGGGGGTCCGTGCTACAGCTCTTGGTACCTGTTATCACCAGGGTGTCTGGTCTTACAAGAACCAGGTAACACCTGAGACCTTCTCTGTCTTGTTCAAACATGGGGTTGCTACCTCACCTAATATAACCTAATATTCGCCTATATTAAGGTCTAAGGCTACATTATTAATATCAAAGGTTACCTCACTAGTTCTTATATTACTTATTAACTATATAAACCTACCTAAACCTTCATTATAAGGTAAATATATCAATTAATATAGACTGCCTGGCCAACTATGAGGACTCAACCTTCATCCTGGAATTTTTATTTATTTTATTTATTAATTTGAACATGATACAGTGAAGTACAAAGGAATACAGTTATTACATTGTAACATGCCAAAGCCCCTTGTATGCAAAGTATTATGGGCAGGCTTAATTATTATTATAATAAAAAAGAAGCGCTAAGCCACAAGGGGGGGAGGCTTAAAATTAACTTGAGATTAACTAAGCAATGATATATTCAGTGGTAAAAACATTATTGTAAACAGGTAACAATTTAGCACAAATGAGATCAAATACAAATGAGATTATTTAAATTGTATTGTGAGATATACATACAAATGAGATCAAATATATTTCTACACTCCAACAAGGCTGGTGCAGAACACCACATTCCACAGTGATTATTATTATAATAAAAAAAAGCGTTAAACCCACTAGGGTCATACAGAAATGCTGCAGAGTACTATGTACTCAATTATTTGGAGTTCTCCCGCCGCCATCAGATATACTCAATATAAATGTTTGTATTCCTAGTAAGTGATGCCAAATAATATATGTCGTGTCATATAGGTAAAACTTGGAGATTTTGGCTTAAACAGCAATGTTCTTCTTGCCGAATAAGGAAAGCTAAAATTTGTGTATGCAATAATTTCGCAAAATTATTCTGACCCTAACGAAAAAAATATATTTCATTGTGTTTGTTTATTATTAAATTATTGTAAACTTATCTAATATATATTTAATTGATTAGGTTAAATTAAACTGCGCTTATTATAATAAGGTGAGGTAAGTTTTCTAAGGTTCTTTTGGTACAAAATTATTAATTTTTACATTAACACCAATGAAAAAAGTATATATCTTTAAACATAAAAGAGAAAATTTTAGAAAGGACTTAATTTTAAATGAGTTTTTGCTAAATGACCAGTTTTACCTATTTGACACGACATATAATATATATATATATATTATATATATATATATATATATATATAATATATATATATATATATATATATATATATATATATATATAATATATATATATATATATATATAATATACAAAGAATATAAATATATGTTTCATTTAGCATCTCTTACAAACAAAATAAACATTTATATTAAGTGTAGCTGAGAGGCGGCGGGAGAACACTTACTGGATCATTATTCTTATTTTTTTGAGTATGTTGAAACATCACAGTTTAATGCTTTTATTGGTTTAGAACTGTGTAGCCCTTGTGATTTAGCGCTTGTTTTTAATTATAATAATATTGGTTTAGAAAAACACGTAAGCAAACACAAACATATATATAAATATGTCCTTGTATTTTTCTGAACCAATTTGTCTATTTATTACCAAGATTTATACCAATGTATTTATTGTAAGAAGGAAGGCAGATTTATTTTAAAGAATCAGTCATTAAGAGATGAAAATATTCTCAGTGGAAATAAGTCACTGACATTTATTGGTAATCTTGGTCGGTAATTTTCACTATGTTTGATAATTGTACTTATATATACCTGTGTGTAAGTACACTTAAAAGTGGAAGTCTCAGTAAAGTGAGAAGATTAACTTTCACTTGACACTTAACAGTTTAATAGATGTATTTCCAGCAGAGCTGTATAACCCTTGCGGTTTAGCGCTTTTAATTATAATAATTTCCAGCAGTGTGTCCCCCCCCCCCCAGGTTAAAAATTTGGATAATTCTTAAATAACAAGAATGCACAATACCATGACTGGAACAATAAACAGATAACTGGTACAGGAGACAGCAACTTGCTAAGATATTCTCATCCATTTTTGACCAGTTAGTCATACAGTTCATGATTTTAACCATGTCTACAAGTGTAGATGATTTATTATCTCTGTAACTTGTCATGTTTGTGACCAAATCTACCTGGAGTTTATTACCTTTGTAACTTGTTCAGCTATAACTTTGGGGTCCAGTCCCTGGACCCGTTATATACCTCTGTAATCTTTTAATTACCGCCCACAGGATGGGTATGGGGTGACTACCGCCCACAGGAGGGGTATGGGGTGACTACCGCCCACAGGATGGGTATGCGGTGACTACCGCCCACAGGAGGGGTATGGGGTGACTACCACCCACAGGATGGATATGGGATGTATAATAAAGATATTTAACTAACACAGTCCAAGTCGGGCTGAAACGTCGTCGTAAGCTCCTCTCTCCTATGTGTGTGTTATTTGTGTATTTAACAAATCTTATCCTATTGCTGCCCATTCCTCCCTAGACACTATGACCCCTATGAGTTTACTGCTTTTCAATAAATGTGGCCCGGTGGCCTGGTGGCTAAAGCTCCCGCTTCACACACGGAGGGCCCGGGTTCGATTCCCGGCGGGTGGAAATTCCGACACGTTTCCTTACACCTATTGTCCTGTTCACCTAGCAGCAAATAGGTACCTGGGTGTTAGTCGACTGGTGTGGGTCGCATCCTGGGGGACAAGATTAAGGACCCCAATGGAAATAAGTTAGACAGTCCTCGATGACGCACTGACTTTCTTGGGTTATCCTGGGTGGCTAACCCTCCGGGGTTAAAAATCCGAACGAAATCTTATCTTATCTTATCTTATAATGTATTCACCGACTGGCTTTTGCAGGGTTCGAGACTCTGCCCCTGACCCTGCCTCCACAATGACTGACATAACCGCTATTATTGTAACTGTTTTTCACACAATTGAGTTACTTAGCAGTTTTAGTTTTTAATGTTATAACCATGATTGGGTTTTACTGTAACTTACAACTAGGCTTTAAATAAATCATACCACAGGTGGATTGTTAGGCTTTAAATATTAAGGCTGTATAATCCTCCGGGTTTAGCGCTTCCCCCATGATTATAATAATAATAATAATTTAAATATTAAGATATTACAAGGACCTCAGTGGAAATGAGTCTGACTGTTTTTGGGTTAACCTAAGTAATTTACACATGTTTCTAGGTAAGATAATTGTACTTTTGTGTACCTGTCTAAATAAATTTAATTACTTCATAGATTTCTGGCCTCTTGGGACTGATATTTACTTTTGAAGCTGTGCATTGAGTCACTTCCACTTCCTTGTTCCAGTGAGTCTAACTCTTTCTCAATACAGTAATAATGCTGTATGACCCATGTGAGTTTAGTGCTTCCCCATGATTATAATATTTATAACTTTATTATGTATCCCACACACAAATATGTCCAACTGTTGAAAGTTGAGACCTTAACTGTGAATGTTCATCATCTATAAATGCTTTGAACTCCAAGAGGTATCTGTTTAATACTTATTTTATTAACATGCATGTGTCAGAAGCCTGCCATAGGTATAGTAGAATTGTAGACACTCAAGTACAACTTCTGTGGATTCCGCCTTTCATCGACTTTCAACTGTTTGATAGAATTGATAAATTGGTGAAGGCATTTACTCTTTAGGAGGGGGTAGATTATAATTCTGTTCCATCCACTAGTAGTTTAAGGACAGTAATTTGAAAGGAGCTTCAACCGAATTTCACTGACCTGAGAGAAGGGAGATTAACCCCAGTATGAGCTATATGTCTATAGTTCATACAACAAATCAACTACCATCCATTATTATCATCAGTTCATAAGTTGTGATTTGGCAATATTTCAAGCCTGTTCAAAACGTAGTAAAAAGTTTTCTAAACTGTCATTTAGTTATTAACTGAAGTACTATACATTACTGAATTCTCTTAAATTTCAGAATCCACAGAACATTAACTTAGTTTATATAGTTTGGCACTATGGGATTGAAGCGACCAAGATCACTTGCTCAGTCAGACAATGAACTCTTGAAGGAGGTACAGAAGCATGTGCGGCTAAATCTGCAGCTCTGGGGAACCACTAAGGAAGCTGGTGAGTAAGACTAATTAACTGCATCTTTGGTTTTGATACTAAAATACAGGTATATAGTACATGTATTTAAATAAAATTTTCTTGACTCAAATTCAAATTTTAAAATTGTCAGTTTGTCTGGTAGTGCCTCAGTTGTAAACCAAGAAAATACACTGCTAGATGAAAATAGTTTTTCTTTACAGATTGAAAAGTTGACTGGTGGGAGCATGTGTGGAGGCAGTATGTGCTCAACCATGATGTACTTGTGACCAGTTTCATTAGTTTTTCTACCCATGGGTCTTCCCTCAAGGGAGGTTCCTCGATGTGGGCAAGGAGCTTTTGATCCAAGGAATCTGACTTGTCCTCCCCTTCCTTGGATTAAACTTGACTGCCTCCCGTTCCCCTAGGTGCTGTATAATGCCTACAGGTTTAGTGCTTCCCTCATGAATGTAATAATAATTACCCATGGAATACCTGTAACAAATTAAGCACTGAAAACTGGACACACTGGTCACAGCTCTGCTCTTAGAACTACAAATAGATAATCACACACTTACTCTCAGACTGCATTAAAGCTCTGTTTTGTATTCCACTTTTATGCTACCATTTCCACTGTGCTCTTACCATTCCTACTGCTGTTAACATTGCCAAAACTGCTTCAATTCCCATTGCATTGCTGCAATTTCCACTGCTGTCATCATTCCCACTGTTCTGCTGCCATTCCCATTACTGCTACCCCATTGGCAATATGACATAGTTCTCTGTGACAACCTTACTTTATTGGATTATCCTGGGTTACTGATCCTCTGGGTTAATGCAAGTGAAATTTTCTTTACTAAGTACACAACATTCAGATGATTAGCTAATAAGATCAGGCTGTCTGATCATGTCCTCTCCAAAAGAATGAATCACTTCGTCTGTTTCAAAGATAAGTGATTGAAAATTGAGAAATGTAGAAGCTGGCTCTGTTGGTGCAGACAGGATTTCAGTCTAGATGTGGGGCTTAAAAATCATCTTTAAAAGCATGTGAGTTTTAGTGTGTCTGTGAAGTTTCTTAAACTAATGTGCTTTCATGATCATTGGTTAATATAATACATGTAGTGAAGATTTCCCTAGGGTCGGCCTAGGAAAGGTTGGAGGGAGGGGGTAAAGGAGGTTTTGTGTGCGAGGGGCTTGGACTTCCAGCAGGCATGCGTTAGCGTGTTTGATAGGAGTGAATGGGGACAAGTGGTTTTTAATACTTGACGTACTGTTGGAGTGTGAGCAAAGTAACATTTATGAAGGGGTTCAGGGAAACCAGCAGGCCGGACTTGAGTCCTGGAGATGGGAAGTACAGTGCCTGCACTCTGAAGGAGGGGTGTTAATGTTGCAGTTTCAAAACTGTAGTGTAAAGCACCCTTCTGGCAAGACAGTGATGGAGTGAATGATGGTGAAAGTTTTTCTTTTTCGGGCCACCCTGCCTTGGTGGGAATCGGCCAGTGTGTTAATAAAAAAAAAATAAATAAAAATTCCCATTAATTGAAAAATTCAATAAAGTATCTGCATCTGGGGCAGGATTTTATCCCCTTACTCATTAGAAACCTAATGTTCATGATTATTGTAAACTGCGTAAATTGAACATTCACCTAAGTAGTATCAGGCTAAGGGCCATTGAAAGTCATCGTATATCAGGCTAAAGGCCATCTGAAGTTCTGCACTCAACAACCTCTGATACTCAAAATGGGAAAACAGTATCCATTCTGTACTTATCCAGCCCATGTGCATCTCTTCCAACCACTACATCCTTGATATGTTGTCATATGTCAGCAAGGAAGACATTGCATTTGCCTTGTATAACACAAGCATAATAAGAAACATTGCTTTACAGGGGAAAGACTTGCATCTTTATACAGTGTTGAGACACAACATCTAGAAGAGCTTATAACAAGAACACTAACTTTAGGAGAGAGCAACTCTGCACTTATGCTTGCTGCAAGAGGCACTGGGAAGTCTTCAGTAAGTGTTTTTTTTTTTTTCTGTTTGCTAAAATTGTGTCATTGGTATTAACAAAAAATTCATAGATTAAAGAATCAAATGGAAGATTGGATTACATGTCATGTTAATTTTCACCATTTTGAAAGATGACAAATTAGTTGCTAGCAAGAGTTGTGTAGGAATGACTGTTTAGTCAATGTAGATCATCCACAGCAAACTTGATTTTTACTATGCTCAGACAGGGGAAACACTAGAGAGAGCACTTTTTAAAAAAAATACCTTCAGTTTTGAACAAACTGGATAAAATTCAATAAGTACTTCCTCTGTCTGCAACAATTGAATTATGTATGAATTCTGAGTTGGAGCATTTTAAATTTGTCCAGCTTATGCTCTGTATATATGAGCCTAAGATCATTGTATCAGTGGTGATGAGAATTAGATTTGTTATTTAGTAAATATATCAAAAGGTTGGTTTCTGAAAGAGGGGCAAGTGCTTGTGTTTACCAGGCTTCTGCAAGTGCCCAGATAACAGCAAGCTTCCTTAGCTTGTCTCCCATTAATCAGCATGCAAAGTTCAAAATACAGGTGTTTTATAGTGCTAGATAGAAATAAAAAAAAAGCAGACTACAGTATTACATTACTGATCATGGCAAATCCAAATTACTGCCATGATAGCATAGCAAAAGTCTATGAAATATCTTATTAAATACTGTATACAGTACGTACTGTAGATAGAAACTTGTGCATCTCTTGAAATAAGCCTTTTTTTAATTGTAGAATTAATAAACTGAAGGACTCTACAATATAAAACTGTCATAAGGAAGATGAAAATATATTGAAATTGTGTAGCCATTATTTTTTAACACTAGCAGTCACCCACCAAGTTGGTGACCCAAAAAAAGAAGAAACATGTTCACTATCACTCACTCCATCACTGTAGGGATCTGGTCAGAAATTGGACTGGAGAAGTGACCTCTGGTTCCACCTCCAGGGCATGTGGGTTTACTGCTTTTTAGTGAATACATATACAGCCTGTCCTCACTTAGCAATGTACTCGTTTACCGACGCCTCAGACTTATGACGGTCTCTGACCAGTATGCATACCTAAATAATATGAATTAGAGCTGATTTTCTCTATTCCACTTAATACAGTATACAGTACACTACTGTAAAAACATTCAAAAAATATGCCAGAAATGTTACAAATGATGCAAGAGTGACATGAAAACAATATCAAAGATGGTTGACACACACCCACCACCATTATAGTATGCTCCTCACTTAGAGACGAATTCGTTTACCAACATGGTCTTAGGAACGGAACTCTGTCGCCAAGTGAGGAGAGGCTGTAATGCAAATTCACCTTTGGTTATGTATTGAAAGTGATAGCTGATGACATATAGCAAAAAGTAGGTTGAAGATTTTTTATTTTCTGAGAAGAGGGTAAGAGTATATTATGTTACATATATTGTACATGTACTGCATCAGCAGCAAACAGATTAATTAAATTTTGTGGTCTTAAGAGACAAATAAAACTACACAATGGAGAAGAATCATTCTTGACAGTGTAATTATATGAATGATGCTAGAAATATCTTCGTTTTGATAAGCCAAGTGGATAAGTGTGAAGAACTTAGCTGTTTAGGACTGATTCATTTTATTAAAGCTTGTGTTGAGGATTATTGTAACTGATTTCTTTGTAGTGGCTATTTAGGCTTGACATACTTCTTTCTTCACATTTAATTAGGATTGAAGTAAGAGTAATGGTATTTGATAGTTATGATGCACATTTGAATTTGTAATTATTTTTATTATGATTTTGTTACAGCTTGTGAATACAGTATTAAAGAGGCTGGAAGAGTCAGGGACACTGACTGAAGGGATGGTGGTGAGACTTTCCGGACTTTTGCAGACTGATGACAGGCAGGCACTCAAAGAGATTACTTGTCAACTGAAACTGGAGAATGCAACTGCTGATAAAGTATTTGGATCCTTTGCTGGTTAGTTGTGTTTAATATCAAATTTTGTTATGATAGGTCATATGGTTGAGGAATTTTGTGTATTCATTTCCTTATTGTATTACTATGAAAAAGCTGCCATTGTCATAGCACTTCACATCCATTTGAATGTCCCATTTATCTCCTTTATTAGTATTGGAGTTTAGTTGATACTGAGCACAATGTTTCTGTTCTAGCTTGACAAACTGTCAAATAACAAATTCAGATGTGCATCTAAGGTGAATCTTGCAACCAAATGGTAAATTTTATAAATCTTCTTACAACACACCTGCCGTATCCCACTGAGGCAGGATGGCCCAAAAGGAAAATCAAAAGTTTGTCCTTTTTACATTTAGTAATATATATAGGAGAAGGCATTACTTGCCCCCTTGCTCCTGGCATTTTAGCCACCTTTTACAACACACATGGCTTACAGAGGAAGAATTCTGTTCCACTTCCCCATGGAGAAAATTTCATAAATACTGTGTTAAATAATGATTGTAATATATATAATATAATGATTGTTTAATATATTTATAGATGGGGTTGTAAGAGAAGTAAATGTGAGGGTCTTGACAAGAGGCGTGGAGTTAAAAGATAAGGAATCACACACAAAGTGAGAGTTGTCACAGTTGCTCTTTGCTGATGACACTGTGCTCTTGGGAGATTCTGAAGAGAAGTTGCAGAGATTGGTGGATGAATTTGGTAGGGTGTGCAAAAGAAGAAAATTAAAAGTGAATACAGGAAAGAGTAAGGTTATGAGGATAACAAAAATATTAGGTGATGAAAGATTGGATATCAGATTGGAGGGAGAGAGTATGGAGGAGGTGAATGTATTCAGATATTTGAGAGTGGACGTGTCGGCGGATGGGTCTATGAAGGATGAGGTGAATCATAGAATTGATGAGGGGAAAAGGGTGAGTGGTGCACTTAGGAGTCTGTGGAGACAAAGAACTTTGTCCTTGGAGGCAAAGAGGGGAATGTATGAGAGTATAGTTTTACCAACACTCTTATATGGGTGTGAAGCATGGGTGATGAATGTTGCAGCGAGGAGAAGGCTGGAGGCAGTGGAGATGTCATGTCTGAGGGCAATGTGTGGTGTGAATATAATGCAGAGAATTCGTAGTTTGGAAGTTAGGAGGAGGTGCGGGATTACCAAAACTGTTGTCCAGAGGGCTGAGGAAGGGTTGTTGAGGTGGTTCGGACATGTAGAGAGAATGGAGCGAAACAGAATGACTTCAAGAGTGTATCAGTCTGTAGTGGAAGGAAGGCGGGGTAGGGGTCGGCCTAGGAAAGGTTGGAGGGAGGGGGTAAAGGAGGTTTTGTGTGCGAGGGGCTTGGACTTCCAGCAGGCGTGCGTGAGCGTGTTTGATAGGAGTGAATGGAGACGAATGGTTTTTAATACTTGACGTGCTGTTGGAGTGTGAGCAAAGTAACATTTATGAAGGGGTTCAAGGAAACCGACAGGCCAGACTTGAGTCCTGGAGATGGGAAGTACAGTGCCTGCACTCTGAAGGAGGGGTGTTAATGTTGCAGTTTAAAAACTGTAGTGTAAAGCACTCTTCTGGCAAGACAGTGATGGAGTGAATGATGGTGAAAGTTTTTCTTTTTCGGGCCACCCTGCATTGGTGGGAATCGGCCAGTGTGATAATAAAAAAAAAAATAAAAAAAAATAAGGAATATAGACATTATTGCAACTTTGCCTGTCTGAAAAAAATGTACTGTTTATGGCCAAATGTAGACATTTGACTCTCTTGCAGTGTTGATGTCTTTTCTACCTAAGAAGGGTGCGTAGTAAGATTGCCAGGAAAACTGTGCACCCTACGATCCTGTGCTCCATGAGCATAAAGAGTTTTACTTCTCTTCCAAATCTGACACTACACTTGTTTATTTAGCCATTAAATTCTCTTTGGTAAGTGAGGATGAATAAGATAAACGAGGAAGTGATGGTTAATGGTTGCCTCGCCTGTCAGCTCTAGAATGTCCAGGACGTCAGAGATAATGTTTAGGTCATTGGCACTGTTATCTTTGGCCATAGTTAATTCTATATACTAGTACCATCCGACTTTCAACCTGCTCGACATACGACCACTCATACTTACGACTGTACATCTGGCAGCAGGGCTGGGCGGGCTGATGCATACCACCGTACAACAGTTGACCGCTACTCTTGGCAATGCGCCATATCGGAAGAGCTCTCACATCAATCAGGCAGCATCACTTTGAGTTACCCTGCCCTATCAGCAGCCTCATACTATATTAACTGTACATATTGTACTGTATATATGTACCTGGACAGTAAATTTCACCATGGCCCTAAAGAAGTCTGAATCTTGCACTGGAGCTTGTGGCAAGAAAGGCTCTTACTCTCAACCATAAGATGAAAGTACAGTCTCTCCTCACTTAGCAACGTACTCGTTTATCAACGACTCGGACTTATGACGGGCTCTCTGACCAATATGCATACCTAAATAATGTATATTAGAGCTAATTTCCTCTATTCTGTTTATTCCAATATACTGTACATTACTGTATAAACATTTAAAAAATTACTAAGAATGTTATGAATGGTGCAAAGGTGACATTAAAACAATATCAATGATGGTTGACACAAACTCATTACCATTATAGTATGCTCCTCTTTTAGCAACGAATTCGTTTACCGATGTGGTCTTAGGAACATAGCTCCATTGTTAAGTGAGGGAAGGCTGTAATTAAACAGTATGAGGATGAAAAAAAATGTCAACAGCATTTTTAGCGATCTTCAGCTCTCCCATTCCAGTAAACAACTGTTTGTGTTGTACACAGTGTTTGTCCTAAACCTTACAGTATAAAATACAGTATTAAAAGCATAAAAAGTAAAGTAAAAAATGAAACAATAACTAAAATCATTACAATAACTGTGATGTTGATATACAGTAGTAAAATATTTAGTAAAAAGTAACATACAATACTATGTAGGTACTTTATGTAGCAAAGGTTTGATATTATGTCCTACCCAGTATGTCGGTAAGTTTCTAAGATTCAACTTGCATCCATTTTGACTTACAACCGGTTGGTCGTAACCAAGCTCGGTCGTAAGTCAGATGGTACTAGTAATATACATATACACCTACCATCCGACTTACGACCTGCTCGACTTACGACCACTCGACTTACGACCGTGTTTTTTAAGCCCAATTTCTGGGAAATAAACAACTATTTGTGTTGTACACAGTGTTTATCCTAAACCTTACAGTATAAAATACAGTACTAACAACATAAAAAGTAAAGTAAAACATGAAATACCAAAATAAAACAAAAAAATAAAGTCATTACAAAAATGTTTTGTTGATATTCAGTAGTAAAGTTCGACTTACAACCATTTCGACTTATGACCGGTTTCTCGGAACCGAACTCGGTCGTAAGTCGGATGGTAGGTGTACGTATATGTACTGTAAGTTGAAAGTTGTAGATGGAAGGGGTAATACTCGTTTATCAATTTGACATTTGCTATCTTAAAATATCGAGTGATCCTACACTATGTGAGAGGTTTCAGTTGTATGTTGGTCTTGTTGGATAAGAGCAAGTTCACATTTATGGTTTTGTTAAAGCTTCACGAAGTCAGTTTTCTTTATAAAAGATTTGGCCTTTGTCAACTAGTCAACCATATTGCTGAAGGAATACAGTGGAATCCCGGATATCGGCCAGTGCGGATATCAGCCAAATCGGATTTCAGCCGCTTTTTTGGCTGAAATTCTGCCCTGGATTTCAGCTGGCAAATCGGAAATTGGCCGTATTGAACATGTCCACCCGCAATCCGCCACGTTCATGAGTCAGTCTGGCTCTGTCTCTGGGTGGGTGAGCAACATTCCGCACATTCATCCAAACATTTCGTTATAATCCATTGTTTTTTGTGGTTGTTTATTGAGTGCGACTGCAAAAAAGCCACCATGGGCCCAAAGAAAGTTCCTAGTGCCAACCCTTTGGTAAATAAAGTTAGAAACACGATAGAATTCAGTGACAAAACCTTGTCCCACTTCAGGCAAATCTTAGAGATGCCAGAAACAGACCTCTCTGGACAGGTTTTTGTGCAACAGGGGTGCTGTGACACTCAAGCTGGTCCTAGTGCCAGTAAAAGACTAAGAAGGGAAGTAACTCCGGGTAGGGACTTGATACCTGAAGTCCTTCTGGAGGGGGGATTCCCCTTCCAAACAATAACCTCCAACTCCCTCTACCCTCCTCGCCCTCTTCAGTATGCCAGCAAGTCTTCAATAAAGATATGTAATGTTCATTTATCATTAAAATTTGTGCTTTATATTTATTTCTCATTGTTTTGTGTATGTAAAACTATGGTTAATCTTTAAAAAATGTATTTTTTGTTAATATTTTTGGGTGTCTGGAATGAATTAATTGTATTTATATTAATTCTAATGGGAAATATTACTTCGGTTTTCGGCGTTTTCGGATTTAGGCTGACTTTCTGGAATGGATTACGGCCGAAATCCTGGGTTCCACTATACTTTTAAGTAGCATATTTTTGTCTTCAGCATTATTTATATCATCTGCAACTTGGCAGTTATGTTGATGAAGAGTTGATAAAGAGTTCTGTGGTGGTAGGTTTTTAAGAGGCATCCTTCCTCCTCCATGGGATGAGTCAGATTTTTTCACAATAACTTTTGTTGTGTGTTAGGTCACATTAAACCCTGTCAGTCCTCAAGATAAGTTTTGAACATCATGAGTAGCAATAATTTTTGCCAAAATAGTCAAGTCACAGGTTTTACAGTCTTCCAAGTATTGCTTCCAGTATTGCATCTTTGATGGCAAACATCTTGCCACACAGATTGGCTTAGATGTAGTTGACATAGTTGATCATGAAAATTATGGTAAGCTTTTAAAGTTAATGATCACACCGTGATCCATAGATTTAACCCTTTCAGGGTTTTCGACGTACTATTAAGGCTTACGCACCAGGGTTATTGACATACTAATACGCCTAAATTCTAGTGCCTTCAAGTCTAGCG